AAGTAGTTGATATTGTCTTTCTCTTCTAAAATAGTGGAGGGAAAATACTGGACATATTTCTGATCCTTTATTTAAATTTTATCTGACTAGCATTTTAACTGTTGTTGCTGCATAATTGGTCCTGAGTCATCAGCATCTCTCATTCATGGTTAGGTAAATAATTCAGAGGTGAACTTCAGCCATATTCTCCAGCATCATAGTTTGAGAAGTTCTAATTTTCTGAATTAAGTGGGGTCCTTGATTTTACAGGTGATTAATTGAATTACGGGGAAAAAATCAATACATCTCTGTACAGCCTATTCTGTATTATCCAAATCTTTGTCCTGGCTGTGTAGCCATTTTTTAAATTTTGCATCTCTGCCTTCCCAACAAAATAACTGTTTTACTGATTTGCGTTATAAAACTTCCAGGCGATAGATGCCAAGGATCCAACAGCAACCAAAATAAACAGCTTGTGTAGAGAGCATTCCCCAGCCAAAGCCCATGTACCTGAAACCTCACAGTGAGCTTGATCAATAACACTGGAGTTCCTGCATTTACACAAGTGTACAAAACACAAATGTTTGGGACTGGTTTTGTGATTCTTTATAGTGTGTGTGTGTGTGCATATATACCTATATAATTAGGTATATTCTTAGAGCAAACACTGCTCACTAAATTGCATTAATATCTGTGCATGTAATAGGAATTGTGGGAGGACAGGTAGCCCTCAGCAGCTGCTGATGACAGCCTATGTGTTACTGTGTGAATTGTGCTGGTGAATTCTGTCAGCAGTTGGCCAGTGTAGTTGAGTTAATCACAACCATACCTACATATTCATGTAATAGGGATAAATGACCTTTAAGATTTAAATCTTTTTCAATGAATATGCTTTTGTAGTCTTGATAGTGTTTCGTGCTTGCCTCTTGCTTTTAACAGTCAAATTCTTCTCAGTAGAAACCTCTCCTACATTTATAATTGGAAGCATTATGTATCATTACTGTTGCTGGACTGCTCCTGTTGTTCCAGGAGGATTTTTAGTTCAGTAATGTTTTGATGGCGAAGTTTTAAATAGCAAGGTACAATAAAGAGATACATTATTTCTGCTCTTATAATGTTTTTTTCAAATTCTTCTGCTTGTTTTGAAAGCGAATTACTGAGACTAGTCATACTACAGTGGCTGTATGCTTTTCTGTCTTTTTAAGAGTCATCGGAATCAAACATGTATGTGCCTTTATTTCAAAAAGATGAAGAAATCCTCTGGTGTTTTAACAATCTAAATGCAAATCTAAAGGAAATGTGCTACAATATTACTGCAATTTTAGCAATCTGTTATAAAGTTTATTGCAGAGAAATAACTAGGTCAACCTCTGGATGACCTGTCTTTTGGAGTTTCTTCAGTTAGCTTTAGGCTAGAGCTCCACCTTGTGATCCTTCAGCAGGATACATTTTCTTTTTATAGTTAATAATTTAATTATGATTTCACAAAGTTGAATGCCTTTTAAAGTTTTCACAGACTTGAGAGATTTCAGTATCTGCTTGGGAAAATTAAAGTTGGAATTCTGTGGACATATCAAAAAAGAAACTCGAGAGCTAATTTTTATGATACAGTTTAGTTTAGAGTTTACTTCCTAGAGTTCTTAAAACAATTTGTTTATTAGAACTCATTTAATAGATAATGTAGACCTGCACTGTTTGGAATGACATCTGCAAGAATTTCACTTCTTTCTTTTCAGATTTCGCTGTGATATATGAACTTGATATATTTAAAAAGTTTTGGTAGAAAAATCTTTCATATAAGCATCTTTCTTTATTGACTTCCTGAACCACTTGCTTTGAATGAGTCATCCAGTGTGGGCATGAGGAAGATGTGGCTGGCAGTACTCTTGAATTCCCAGAAAGTGTTTAATGAGATGAAGAATCTTGAGGAATGACCAGTGTTGCTTTTCTCCCATACCAGAACAAGAGAATATGACATAAAGTTGGAAAATAATAAATTCAAGGCAAAGAATATGCCTTTTTGTAGTATGGAATTTGGCTGTGGGAGTTCTTGGATGGAAGACCCTCCATTGAGTATTGAGTTAAAAAACTATTTGGAAATACTAATGGAAAAAAAAAAGGTGTTGTGAAATATAGGGGCAAGCTCTCTGGCCAGCAAAATCCATAGATTATTTCTGGATGCTAGGAAGTAATTCAGGGAAACTTTGCTATAAAGAAGATAGTGGTCTTCCTTGGGCAGCTTCTCTTGGCCACTGCCAGGGGACTTACTGGACTGGGTTGACTCTGCTGGCTGAGCATCATAAGACTCATTTGGGATGTGTGTAAACCTTGTGAGATTATTCTCTAGTAGGACAAATGCAAGGGGTTTTTTGGTCATTGCTGAAACTTAAGCCTGACACCTGAGCTCCCTTACGCTCTTTGTACACCACTGCCAGGTGTTCATCTCTAGCTTCTGTTTTCCAGAATGCCAGTATATAGTTGCACTCATGAGGGCTAAGTTTGTTCTACCTTCAAGAAAAACAAAAAATGTGTATCTCAGTAGGTAATGCTTCTGCATCAGGCAAGAACTTGATAGGTCTGCTCTATTCTAGGAGGTGGTTTTGACAAATGCTGTGTTTAATGTTTTGTGCTCTGTACTAAGATGAACAGTTCTGACAAGAAGTTCAGGTTGGTCTAAATGGCAGACAGCTTTTGTTGCTGATTTATTTGGGTTGTTTGATGTAGAGAATGAATACTCTAATACTTTGCACATCCTTTTTCATAGTTTTGGAGTTTTTTCTTTACTTTTTGTGATTATAAGAATGTATTGAGATTTTTGCAAAATTTCATAGCATGGTATGCTTGGGTTTTATATAAGGAGTCAGTTTGCTTGTAAGGATCCTGATTGTCACTTTAGTAGATGTCTTACCTCTTAACATTAAAAAATGTAAACTAGAAAAAATCAAATACCAGCACATTGATAGACAGGTTGAACTTGAAACTGGGCAATGTGGTTTTTGCAGTTTGCATCTCTGCTTTCCACTGGGACTGAATCACAAGCGTGCCTCAAAAAGAACTTGTGTAGATGTTTATCTTTCTTCTTAATTTCTCTTTTTTTTTTTTTTTCCTGTTTCCCCCTCCCTGTACAGCTGAGCAGGTGCCAGCCTGATGACCAAGGCATTAAAGTGTGTCCTTTTTTCCAAGTTTATATTGCTGATTGGAATCAAAGTAAATATTAAGAGATAAATAAATACAAAGTACATGAAACAATTCCAAAGTGTATAACTTTCTGATATGTTAGCTTCTGAGCATGGCATTTCACAGATGGCCTGGATGGTATAATAGCACCTTGACACCAAAGAAGGGAATTATACCCTTCCCTCCCCTGCTGGTGGCTATGCAGTCTTGTGTTTCCTGTTCCTTGACTCTGGATATCTGCTGTTGAACCAGTTTAGCTTGAGAATCTTGGGGAAAAATACTTGAATTGCATTTTGCCCATTTTGGTGGGGACTTTAATTGGGTGATTCTGACTTGGCAGAGCCTACAAGGGTGAGTGGCTGGGCAGGGGTTGCTACAGGGAGTGTGAACGGAGTGCATTGGTCGTGTGCCCATGTGGTGCCTTTGGAGAAGGGAGGAATGCAGTGGCAGAGGGTGCTGCCATTCTGCAGCATCGCTTTTCTTGAAGCTTTTTATCTTCTGCTGTGTTTTGGATGGAACATGCTTTTGTACTTGCAGACTGTCTTGAGATTGAACCGCCTTGCCTTTGTCACTATTTATTTCCACTGTGGTTCTCTACTTTAATGTAATTATGTGCAATGTGAAGAAAGAGAACTTAATAAATTCAGAGTTTATGGTTTCTCTCATCTCTCTAAATCCTGGAAGCTACAGTGGCCCCTAGCATTCGGAATAAGCACTTGCAGGAGAAAACCTGTCCAGCCTCTCTGCCACATGCTCACTTGAAATGCAGGAGGGCATATGCTGGAGCAGGGCTACCATACTTTGAGCAACATGTGCTTAGCATGCCAAAATTTAATCTTTCCCTCAAATACCTAATCACTCCAAAAAGCTGTAGAGTCAGCAGACTGACTCTGAAAGTTTTTCTCCTTGGTATTCTGTCTTTAAAATAGCTGAACGTCATACTTTCTTAATTTCACTGTGTAAAAGTTAATCTGGGGAGCCAAGTGACATAGAAAACCTGGTGGATGGCTAAAACTTGCTTTTGAAGTACTCAGGGAGATTTTTTCCCCCTTGATAATAGGAAAAATAAGATAAACACTTAAATTTTTTATAATGAAGTTTAAAACAAGTATTTCACGATCTTTAGTTTTATTGCTAAAAAATTGTGTTTCCAATGTTTTCTTTTATAATATGTGGATAGTATTATTTTCCTTGGTACTCCTAAGAGTCTTGACAAATGCTTCAATTGTTAAACCTGTTGTAAGTCTGGTTTATCAACTCTGTAAGACATGGAGTTGTGAAGCAGCTGGTTATAAGAACTTGTTGGAAGAGATTATATTTATGGGAAATTACATGGAAGTTGGCAAGTTGGAGATGCAAAGTTGCTGTATATAATATCTTGAAGAATACGCGTATTTTGCTTCAAGTTCAACATCAAGTCTAGTTTTGGTTTGGTCAACTAGAACTAGAATTACCCTAGTGTTGTCAGTTCTGGGCTCTGCTACTTAGAGGTGTTAATGAAAACCATTCCAATTTGCTCATCCTATTCAGAAAATGTGTGTGTGAGGTGTTTGATTTTTTTTTGTTTTGTTTTTGTTATTTTGTTTGTTTTCGGTTTTTTCTTTTTTTTTGTTGCATTTTGTTTGGTTGGGGTTTTTTACAGTGTTTCTGTATTTTACTGCAATGTTTTTACCATTTGTAGAGTCACTTTGTTAGTAGGATCATGAGAGGACTCAAAATCTTTAAAACAGGAAAAAGCTTGGTTGGAAACAGAGGATAGTGTGATCTACCTTTCCTGTGTTTCCAACTCCATCCTTCCATGTGTGGAATAATTTTCACTGTATTTTTTATTTATTTCATTCTAGAAGTTGTCTGCTACAAAGGAAGAAAGAAAAGTAAGCTTGCATTTCAGACTGCTTTTTGAATATCTTTCTAATACAGTGGTGTTCCAGAAGATGATAAAGAAATGATAGCAGCTCCAGAAATACCAACTGATTTTACTCTCCTTCAGTAAGTGTTTTAAAAATTTGTTGTTCTGTTTGTAAATGTACTGTGTCTTTTTTGTGTTATGGTTTACTTTCTCTTGGAAACAAGGAAACATAATAAAGAATGGCGTTCTGTTTTTTTCCCTATTGAGGTGTTGGTAAAAGCATTTTTAATTTTTTTGAGTATTAATTCAGCAGTAAATAAGTTTTTAAAATATTTTTAAAAATCTGATTTTAAATCAAGTAGTTGAAATATTTGCCTTTAACTGGGGTGAGTCACTTAATATTTAAAATATGTAATGCCAAATGCTTTAGTTAAAGCCAAATTAATGACTTCACTCTGGCATCTGTTCCTTGGTGTTTTTGACATAATTTTACTAAGCTTTTTGTCTTCCCACAATTTTTTAGAAACTGACATTTGAGTTTCCAATATTTAGAATTAGGTACGGATTGCAGTTTAGGATAGAGAAGTAAAGTAATTATTTTAAGGAGACCAAAATAATCCAGTTCATTCCCTTTTATTGTCAAGGGACTGGTGTGAACACATTTCTCTAGGCTGTTGAAATGGATTAACCCAGTTATGAAGTCTAAAAAGATGCAACGGTGCAGTTTTGTATCATTGAGTTTGTGTGGGTGTTTTTTCTTTTCAGTGAGAAATAAAGATTGGAAATAAATTGGAAGATGGTTTAATAAGAAGTAGTGTTTTTACAACTGTTTATAATAGTTTTGTACTCTTTTGGTACAGTTTATTGCTTAGTGAAGCATTTGGAATTTATATTTAGATCTTCCCTGTGAAAATAAGAACATCTAGGAATCTTAGAAGAAGAAATTTTTTCCACTTTTTTTCTTTCTTTCATTCTTCTCCCCAGTGTCCTGGTTTGCAGGCTTTTCCAGTCCATATCAGCTTGCATAGTCAGCAAAACTAGACATGGCAGAGTCCATGTCGAAAGGTACTTGCAGTAGTGAGAGACGGTAAATGTCTGGAGCATTTTAGAATGAGTCTCCCATGCCTCCAGTCATGTTTCTGATTGTTTTGTTAATTGAATCAGGAAGCCTGTATCAGAAATTTGTGATAGCAGCTGAAATTCGTTGTACTGCATCTCTGTATTAAAATGAGCTCTTGTAGCATCATTTAAATTAATTTCTACAGGAACTGTAAAAATACAAAAGCCAAACATTCTGTATTAACAATTCAGGTCATTTCACACACATTCACATTTCCTATCAATGCTGCCAATCAAGGATTTGTGTATCAATGCAGTGTATTTTTAAGTGTAGGAAATCCAATGAGTTTGCCATTAGTATGTTTTCACCTTATAAGCCTAAACAGAGCTACAGCTTTTTGATGAGGACACCTCACCTAGACTTCTTTTCTGTACCTTTCAACGTAAGTGCAAACCTATTAATTATTTGCTAAGTTTCTAACAGGATGAAGAAATCTGTTGAGGCACTTTGGTTGTCAGGGAAAGTTTCGCTTTTTGGGATGTTTTTTGCTGTTGGGTTTTTTCTCCTTCTCATTTTGTTTAGATATTTGTGGCCAGTATTTAAAACTCCTTGCTTTTTGAGATGTTGTTGTGTTTGTCACATGTCAAAGGCATGATTCCCAGCCTGCTGCTATTTTCTACCTACCCTCAAATCTTTTAATCTCCCTGTATGGCTTCCTTCACAGGTACATTGCTTGGAGGAGACAGGATAGGCTGTGAGTGTGGGGGTGTGCTCTGTTCCTTAACAGTAGGCTTGGGAAAAGTTTCACTGTTGGTGTTGACTTACTGGACTGAGATTTTATATAGTATATTTAAGAATGTTTCTGATGAAATGTGTGAATGGTTTGTCTTTTTATCCTTGCAGGGAGTCTGAAACACACTTCTCTTCTGATACAGACTTTGAGGATATTGAAGGCAAAAACCAAAAACAAGGCAAAGGCAAAGTATGTTCACTCTTTAGGGATACTGAAACATTTCTACTGTTATGAATTGAAGAATTTAGCACTTTCTTTGAAGTTCAGTGAGCAAGAAAGAGTATTTTCTGAAAATGCAAGGTTGCAGACGGGAGGTTAAAATAGTGGAGTGGGAGGTCTAAACCCAGTTCCCAGCTCTTGTCTCCCTTCCTGGGACAGTTGTCCTCCTGATGTGCCTGTCACGGGCTTCACAGCCACCATGGGTGGCTCCTTCCCTGCTCTGTGCTGGCCTGGGCTTTCCTGCTGACCCCTCACTGGACACCCCATGAGCCTGTTCTAGTGCCAAGCACCTGGTTGTGGAGAGGTGGTGATGGATTTTGTACAATGGTAATGTAATTTGTACTTAATGTTCTTTCTTCTTTCTGGAAGTCACACTTGATTTAGGAAATCAAATACAAATGCACCTGTCTGCTCTTCCTCACCCCCCATCTTGCCAACCTATATTCAAACGGAAAAAACAAAAGGTTATTGAGTTGCAGAGGAGACTTTGTGATGTGTTAAGGAAATTACCTTAGCTGTTTTAAAGGAAATATGAATAATCTGATTTACAATTTAAACATGAGAAATATCTGTGTTACACACTATCACTAGTCACCTTTTTTGTTTGTTAAAGGTTTTTAATTGGGGGAGGGGGGACCTTTTGGGTTTTTTGTTGTTTTTTTTTTCCTTTTGGTTTTGTTTTTTTCACTTTTTGATTTTTTATTTATATATATATATATATATATATATATATATATACACATATATGTACGCACAGACATACAGATATATGTAAGAAATTTAAAAAATAGGGTTGCTGAAATCAAAGGCTTTGCTTATATTTGTCATGGTATGGATAGTGATGTTTTTTTAAATACTTCATGATAATTAAATAAAACCTTTTGTGTGTGTGATTGCAGACTTGTAAAAAAGGAAAAAAAGGACCAGCAGAGAAGGGAAAAAGTGGAAACGGAGGAGGGAAACCCAGTGGTCCGAATCGGATGAATGGACATCACCAACAGAATGGTGTGGAAAACATGATGCTCTTTGAAGTAGTGAAAATGGGCAAGAGTGCTATGCAGGTAAGACCTGGGATAGCTGTATGACTTGGATGTAGATACAATTTCAATATAACAATACTTTCTTCTACATGCAGTTTAATCAAATGAAGTAGAAAGTAATTTTTTCCTTCATTTTGCTGGTTTTACTTAAGTGTAAGAATCAAAATAAAGTGGTTTTGCTTTGTTGATGTTTGATCTTGAATGAACTGATTTTTCATTTTTAAATGTTATTCATTAATATATCCATACTACAATTCAAAACAAGTTTTTAGTATCCTGAATGAAGAAAGGTTATTTTAGATTGCATAACTTTAAAGTCCTTTTTGTGTGATGGTAACTAAATACAAATGTGGTTTAGACTTACTGTTGTCATAGAATTTAACAAGAATCTGATGTGTTTACATGCATCCAGAGCATGATTATCTAAGCTCTGGATTATGTGAAATAAATAGTTGCTTCTCTTCTCTCATCCAAAGTAAAATCACTAGCTAAAACTTACAGGCTTCTCTTTAAATTTCCTGACCCAAATTCCAGCCACTTACATTGTAGCAATATATTCTGGCCAAGTCAACCTACGGCAGATTTAACCTCTTCAAGTATCTACATTAGGTACTCTTCCCCACTGCATTTACTAACAGGATGGAAGTCAGACTATACAGCACTATTTTTGTTGTTTTTTTTAAATTCAGATAAGTCAATAAAGTGTTTGCTTGTCTGTGAGCTTCCCAGCTGACACAGGGTTAAAATGAAATAAGTGTAAGCCTGTCAGCCATGAAGCTTTGCTGCTGACTCACTCATGTGACTCCTGGCAGTGTGGAAGAAAGACTATCTTTGGGACTGGAAATCCAGAGTTTGCAGCTCCTGTAACACATGTGCAGGAAGCTGGGTTGCTGTGCAGTCCTCTCAAGGTTTACAGGCTCCTGCATTGCAGCTGGGAACAAGAACAAATTACTTGGATGTATTTGCACAGAGAAATTCTGATTCTCCCATCATTTGTTTTGTTCTATTTCAAAGCAGATGGAAAAACAATACTTCTCTAGCTATTGCTGTGTGCAACTTGTTCAGCCTGTAATCAGTAATTGTATCTTCATGAATTTTTAACTGTTTAAAATGATATACAGTCAAAATATTTTGCTTTCCAAGGGCAAAATGGACCTTTGCCAGGTCTGATTACTCCGTTGAATTGCAAAACTGATACCTCAATCTTTGTCAATTTTTTAAAACTAGGAAGAAAAAATTTCTCAAATTATTTTTAAACTAAAGTCCATTTCAGCAGTCAGAGTACAAAGTTTTTTCCATGGCCTCCAGTGTTATCTGAAAAAATTGTGGTAATAATTTAAAGTTAACTACTTTATTTTAAATTCTATTCTGTACCTTCTGAATTAGTTGTCAAGGTGGTGTTAAGTCATAGGTTGGACTCGATGACCTCAAAGGTCTTTTCCAACCTAATCTATTCTGTGATTCTGTGAATTAGTGTCTGTTCCCTGGCAAAAAGAGGAGGTGGTTCATTTCCAGAGACAACATTTCAAGAAACAACTGTTTTGCTGGCGCTTCTTTAAATTGAATAGATTCTGAAAACAAGGCTGCCTAATGGAAATATTTGTTCCGTTCCTATCATTCTTCAGTTCTTGCATGATGACCTTCTTTAGAAGCCAAACTTATTTTCTCAGCATTTCATTCTTCCCTTCAGGTCAGTCCACTCAGGTCCAGTTCATAGGTTCTGTTCCTGCTGGGAAGAGAAATGACAGTTTCATCTTGTGAATGACATTCACAAGATTTTTAATTCTTTCTGTTGTGTTGATAACAGTTGTGCTTTACATTATAAACAATCTGAGGTTCAGGGAAGAGGATTTAGCTGTATCTTTGTTCAGAAGATTTTCTTGACGGCAATATGTTTTAATTTGTCCTCACAGCAATATCGGCTGTGAGAGTAAGCACGGGGAATACAGATAGGGAGCCTTGGAGATGGTGAATAGTTCAGCTGTCTTTTGAAATTCTGAATTATTCCATCATTTAGGGAAGGGTACTAACATATTAAGAAAAGTCAAACATGAGAACTTGATACTACAGCGAGTCTCTTGTGCCTGTGTTAATAAAATTGTGTGTCTGTTTTATGACCTTGGCAGTAGATGGTTTGTACTCTACAAATGGATGGCTAAAACATAATTGCATGTAAATTCTGTTTTCTCAAAATGATTATCACAGGTTTAGTTGCTTCCCACTAAGGTCTTTTAATAAAATGTACTTGTTCCTCCTTTACTTAGTGACTACTGAGTAATTAATATCCATGTAGTGTAGAGCAGTGCTGTTCAACCAGTTATGGTAAATGTGGATGATGCAAAATTCATCCAAGGAGCACATTTTTTAAAGAATATGGGGAGTTGTAGCTGTTGAAGTTGAATGCACAAATAATATCTTCAGAGAAATGTCAGTGGCTTGGCAGAGCAGGGGAAGGGTGTAAATAAAAAACCCAATTCTCTAAAATACCCCAATTATTTTTTCATTCTTCCTCCAAAAATGTTACTGTAGAAGGATATGGTATTCCTGTGCTTTATGTTCAGGTGTCAGTTTTGTACTGGTATATGTCTATAGAATAAAATGAGTTCTTGAGAACAGAAAAAGCAGTAAAAGATCATTTAAGCATTTAATTCTGTAGTAATCAAAAAAGAGTGTTCAAGTTACTTAAAGGGATGAAGAAGAATCACTTACTTGAAAGCAGTTAAGTAACAATGTCTTCCATTTATGAAAACTGAGCAGTGCCTTTTTATTTGTTTTCTTTCAGTCAGTAGTGGATGACTGGATAGAGTCATACAAACATGACCGAGATATAGCACTTCTTGATCTCATTAACTTCTTTATTCAGTGTTCAGGCTGCAAAGGTAAGATGCTGAAATGGTTACTCATCCATTTAAGTAATATTTAATATTCCTAGTATCATTTAAGCATGATTCTCAATCTTTGTTTTCATACCACTGAGACTATAAGATTACTTCATACCCAGAGCTAGTTTACATTATCAGGTTCTTGGAGTTAAACAAGTATTTCTGAAGGTGGGAGCAGGAGGTTTAGAAATCTTATACTGTAGTTTAAAGTGTTGATTAAGCCTTTTCTATTTACAGCAGATAGAAATCAGTACTGGTAGTTAATATGTGCTTCCTCTTCCTTTGTTCCTGCTATTATTTCAGAAAATAGTCTCTTCTATCACTGATAGTTCAGCTTATTCAGTCTTGGAATTCTAATTTGATGTTTTATTATTAAAATTGCTTCATAACTTTTGTAGACATGCTTGTTTCAAAAGATATTATGGACAACTTCATGGTAGCCTGTCTACAGTAAGATTGTTCTGTTTCCCTATTATTTTTCTTTATTTTCTGATTTTTCTTTCCTCATTTCTTCATCCTCCATCCTTTTACCTCTCAGCTTCTTTTGAAGAGAAGGTAACTTGCCTTGCAGTGTCACTATGCTTGGTGGAGGAGGACTGGATGTAATTTGTTCTGCTCAAGTGTTTCTCTGTCCTGATAAACTTTTAACATGTGTAAATCTCCAGAAACCTAACAGTGTTCTTCAGAGGTTATCTGTGCTTTCAAGAGTAGTGGCCTTTTGATTTTTATTACAAGATTGAGCTGCAGAATCTTTTAATGCTTTCTGTGATGATCCTTGTCATGAATTTTGCAGTAAACTTTGGGAGATCTAACAATTTGAGGCCAAGACAAACAGAAATTTCATGAAAGTGCTGTGTTTATTGTAGTGCAGAAGATAAGTAGCAATACAGCTGTTCAAAATTGTCTTGCACTATTTAGAATCTTGAGTCCCAAAAGATCACTTCAGATGGTGTAATGCTCGCTGGTACAGAGGTCTGGCACAAGTAGCTTTGATTTCTGATTATGAGTGAGTGAATAAATTCTAGCTGTGTGTGTACATGCACACAAACACGCTTCTTAAGAAGACTAAACCCCACATAAATAAATGGTGTTAAGTACTTGTTACATGTGAATGCTAGAAGAAAGAAGTTAAATGTATTAAAAATATATATGTGTAATCAGTAGGTTAGGTGAAAATGGGTTATTTTGACATTGTAGCAGGAGGCATGTCATCTGCCATCTGCAGCTTTCATATTAACAGTGCTAATGACCTAATATCTAAATTGTAGGAGTTGTTACAGCAGAGATGTTCCGACATATGCAGAATTCTGAAATAATCCGAAAAATGACTGAAGAATTTGATGAGGTAATTTAATGAAATGCTGATTATGTATTCATTTTTATTTTCTTTTTACCTGTTGTAATCTTGCTGGATCATGTTGCTAGACGTTTATTTCAAGAATACGGAGTTACAAAAATTACAGGACTTCTATGAATGAAAATATTAAACTCTTATTTCACTGAACTTAAAAGACTAGGAAGGAAAGCTCTGCATGGATGCAACTTATTTTATTAATGGTTTAAGAAATCAATATTGACTTTCAGTTTTTAAATAGTGGGAACTCCTACTATGGTAGCACTATGGGGGATGCCTGCCTATCTTGCTGTTTATATAAGGCCTTAAAATGGTCGCTAAATTTATTTCTATGCATTCATTAGTCTACAAATTGCGGGGATTTAAATTTGATTATTTTCCAATTGCTTTTCCTTTCATGGGGATTATAGTTCTTTTCCCTTTAAATTGTCACTTGCTGTTCCACAGAGTGTTGGGGTAAATGAGATATATTGGGAGGTTTTTTTGGTGGGTGGTGAGGTTCTTTTTTTTTTTTTAAGTTTAAATTATGTTTTTGTTTTGGGGTTTTTATGTTGGTTTCATTTGGCTTTCACTTGTTTTTGGTTTTTCTGGGTTTGAGTGGTGTTTCTTTACGTAAATGTAGCTTTAAAACCTCCTCCCCAAATTTGTCTAGTACAGCAGTAGTTCTCTCCACTGCCACCCCTCCAATAATTAAAAAAAAATCCATAACTTTAACTGAGGGGAAAGTGTAATATCCTTTTCTTTAAAAGGGTTTTAGGGTTCCTTAAATCTACCTCAGTGCATAAATATATTTGATTACTCTTCGGCAATATTGTGTGAAATTTATAAAGCCACACCTGGGACTGTTTGTACATGGGTTCTTTTAAAACTCATGCTCACTTTTTCTTGTAATAGAATTCTAATGAGCAGCTCTCAGATTTTTAATTCCTTTTCATGGATACATACTTTATTTTTCAACCTGTATTGTTGTTCAGCCTCTTAAAGAAACTGTTCACATTGGCACTGAAACAAATTATTCTTTATTTTTCGCTGTTATTTTACCATTATTTGTAAAGGGCTCCCTTATCAGAAGAGGACTCACATTTGTTATATTTGAGGTGTTGTAGTTGGTAATTTTATGACCTATTACAGTAGGTAATTTTAAGTTTCAGTCTGATATGTTAGCATTTCCTGTAAACTTCCTTACGATCCTGACCTGTTCCTAAACTTGTCACCTCACTGTTCATGTGATGGTTCTAGTGTAACAAAGCAGATTTGCAAGGCAAATAATTTTTTCTTTTTATTTTGTGTCAAACAAGAAAGAGGAGCTAGTAGTTTGAATATTGTTATCGTGTTATAACAAGCCTCAGCTGCAAAGTATATTCATATTTATGGAATAATGTTCTTCTGATGTATCATTTTTAAGGTCTCTGAGACTTTGGTTTTAAAAACATCTTAATCTTTAGTTAATGAAATAACTTTTAAAGTGTTTGAAAGAATTTCCTGTTTTCTTTTCTGTGTTTTAATAGGATAGTGGAGATTATCCACTAACTATGGCTGGCCCCCAATGGAAAAAGTTCAAATCCAGTTTTTGTGAGTTCATTGGAGTACTCGTCCGACAATGTCAATATAGCATCATATATGATGAATATATGATGGATACTGTCATTTCCCTGCTTACGGGGCTGTCAGACTCACAAGTCAGAGCCTTTCGGCACACTAGCACACTGGCAGGTCAGTGAATTTATATTTGTTTGGGTATTGTTTACATTTAATGCTTTGTGTTGTACGGGACGGAATTACTCTGGTTGAATTTCATAATATTCAACATTCAGCTTGTGTTTTATTTTGTGATACAGTTTTCATCTTGTATAGCTTGCTTTGGGACTGCTTTTTACCTTGGAATTTTGTTACTGAAAAACACAGCACCATTTTAAAGCATTCTAGCTCTCTGGTATTTAATTTTTGTTACCTTTAATAGAAGAGTAAATAGAAGGAAACTTTTCAGTAGATTCTGCTAGATTGTCTTTGGTCTTAAATAAATGTGTAGATGTCTTTTAAATGCAGTCGAACCTGTTCATGCTCTGCATTAAGTCAAATAGAAGTTGTAGTTTATGTTGGACGCAATTTTTACTACAGACTTAAATTGTGCTATATTGAGGTCATGGCGCCTATGTAAAGTAGCATTTCTAGTCTTCACATTAGAAATAATTTAAAATAATTTTTTCATCAGTAATACAGTCTCTAAATTTCTTTGTTTTATGTAATTGACCTTTTCACATAATTTTTTTCCCAATATGTTAAATTGTATAGAGATCCTTTATGAGTTAAGTATAAAGTGTTTCAAAGAAGTATGTATTTGTGTGGAAAAAGGATGAGCTTCCTGGGTAAGGGAGTACTAAACTTGCACTGATTACTGAGGAAGGATTGTGAATGGCATCGTGTGGCTGTCAGCTTATGTGAGGTTATGGTAACAATTTTACTTTGCATGAGTAAATTTAGGCTGTGTGTGAAACTGAGGTTTTGCCACACTGGAAGTAATTACTGTTAGCTTCCATTGACCTGGCTGATAGACAGCTGGCTTCAGTCCTGTCATGTCAGTCCTTCTGTATCCTTGATAGCTTCTTGAATTTACATCAGCACGCTGCACATGGGGCTGCTGCTGTGTGACTTCTACCAGCCAGAGCATTTCTTAAGGAGAGAGGAACAAAACTTTTTAGTTAGGAGACTTTACAGATTCTGCTGTGTCATCAGTTCTGACTGTTGTACTATATGACTTAATACAAATTCTAGATCTTAAAAAGCAAGTTATTACCTTTGGATTTTTTTTTTTAATTGGAGTTGTGCCTGAATAAAAGTTGCAGAAATTTCCCTGTTGGATGTTGGTTTCTGTCAAAGAAAAATTTTTTTTATAAGCCATGTGTTTTCGTTTGTTCACATCAGCAGCCAATTCTGTTGGTTTTGTGTGTTCCATCTGAGTTTTACTGTTTGTATTGTTAAAGATGGTATTTTATATGGAAAAGAGTGTCAGCAAAATCCTTGTATCCATATTTACTGGTACTTCTGGTAATTTCAGCTTCTGTGATTAACTCGGACTTGCTCTTTGATCTTGGAGATCACAGTGTGAGATGGTATTTCAATATAACTGCATGTCTTTAAGCCTTGCTCATTAGCTTTATGCTGGTGATACATGCACAAGAATATTGTGTCTGTTCTGCCAGTGCAAGACCTTTTATGCCTTGTTTCAGAAGCTCACAAGGCAAGCAAGTACACAATTGATCACCTTCTAATTTTTGAAAAAGTGGTATTTGCACTCTTTTTAGAAGTATTGATCTAAAAATAAAAGGACACAAGAATCGCACATAAATGTGTTTTATCTTTTGGTTTTGTGTTTTCTGTCTTGTAGTTGGCTAATGTGCTTTGTCTGCTTCTGCTGATAAATGAGTCTTTGAAAAACCTGCACCTTTTTAAAATTAAATTGAGGGAAAAAGACTGGTGTGGTATGGTGGTGTTGGTTGTCTTAAGACATTTCCTTTTGAAGAAAGAAACTTCTTGTATATTTAAGACTGATATGAATCTAACTGACTCTGATAGCAGTTCCTCTAGTATTTCTTGGTCTAAGTTTGTTAATCTTACATTCTACCTTCATTTTGGGGAGGAAACATACCCTATATCTCACTTCAATAATAATAATGTATGTATAATGGAAACAATGCTTATGGCATTAAAGAAGTGACAAAAAAGAACAGAACAGCAATGCTGCATCTATTGTCTTGATAAATAACGATGCAGTGCTTGGTAAAACATTGCAAAAGTTTGTGTATCAAAAAATTACAGTGAATGTATTTTCATAGATACAGAAACAGCTGACCAGAGGAGGTGTCAATATTGTTCTTCTGAGTTTTCTTAGATCAAGTAACCTTTTAAATAAACCTTATTCTTTTCACTTATTTTTGTAGCCATGAAACTGATGACTGCTTTAGTGAATGTGGCATTAAATCTAAGTATTAACATGGACAACACACAGCGGCAGTATGAAGCAGAAAGAAATAAAATAATTGGGAAAAGAGCTAATGATAGGCTGGAACTCTTACTACAGAAGAGAAAGGAGGTTAGTGCAACTAAGTATTCATAAATTTAAGTGTTCATAAATGGCCACTAATAATTAATCTTGTTCTGTAATTTGTTTTGCTGGTTACCCATCTCTCTAGCTCTTCAGATTGTTCATGTTTAATGCTTGAAAAAACCTTGCAAGGTGCTTCTTACTGTCTGGTTTTTCTGTAAAAAGAAGTAAATGTAGAGTCTTAAAAATAGTAGTATTGCAATGAAGTTAATGAGACTGCAATCAGTAATAGATACATTTTTGTTGTATTTCTTGATGAGTTTGCTACATTGAGCTCAAAAATGCAAGAAAAATTGCCACACATTGACAGATTTTGGCTTCTAGAGAAGATCTCAATGATCTTGGAGCAAAATACTGCTCTTGTAATGTCAATAATGATCTCAGCAGAAAATGTATTTAAAGGCTTTAGATAAGGCTTTTTTCATGTACAGAAAGCACTATCAAAGTTGAAAATGCAGTTTACTTCTGTTCTCTTTCTTTTGTGTAAAAGAGACTTGCTGATTCATTGCTGACGATGTTGTCTTGTTAAAAACCCAAATTCAATCAGGTTTCAGTTTTTACTGTTGGGGCAATTGGTGGTTTGGTTTTTTGGTCTTTTTTGGGTGGTGGTGTTTGTTTTCTTTTAGGTTTTTGTTTTTTAGACATCAGGAATAACTTCTTCACAATCAAGGGAAACATTTCACCTTTGCTCTTCAGTGTTTGTGCTGTTACCTGTTACATGGTTTTTTCCCCTGACAGTTCAGGCAAACTAAAGTTTGTCTTCTGATCATCTCCAAAAGGTCTTGCAGTTCAAGACTGATCTCTTAACCCGTTCAATGTAGTTTTGTTAGATGTGTGTGCAGGGCCAGTCCTAGTGTGAGTAATACATAGATAGGTAAAAAAGCAATAATGTTACTAGAAAATTAAAACAGGTTTTCTTAAAAATTAATGAAGAAGGACCTTTCAGAAACCCAAGATGCCTTTGTTACACATGAAGAACAGTTTTCCAGTGGTCAGAATTACTAAAATTTGTATGCTGTGGTAGGTACAATTTCTTAAATAATAGAATATTGTACTGTGAAACAGATCTGTGAATATTTCTGAATCTGTGAAAGGATTTAATGGTCACACTTGTAAATGCTAACTTAGTTTGTCTAGCATCAGCACCATCTGATCTGACTGTAAAAGTGCTGCTCACTGTTTTTGTACTCTCTATGTTCTTTCAGCTTCAAGAAAATCAGGATGAAATAGAAAACATGATGAATGCAATATTTAAAGGTGTTTTTGTGCATAGATACCGGTAAGTTTCTCTCAGTAAGAGATGTATAGCATCATTACTTTATTCTGCAAGCTGGGGGCAGGTTATTTATTTCTAATTATTCGTCTGTTTGAACTTGCTGCCCCACTTCCCTCCACAGAGATGCAATTGCTGAAATAAGAGCCATCTGCATTGAGGAGATTGGAATATGGATGAAAATGTACAGTGACGCCTTCCTCAATGACAGCTACTTAAAATATGTGGGGTGGACTATGCATGACAAGGTAAACTGCACTGAGCAAAAGGAGCAGAACCAAGAAGCAGAACTCCTTGGTTTTGATTACTCATCTTTCCAGACTAGGTTTGGATCTCTTAACTGTTTGAATTGGTTACTGCTTTCCTTATCACTCAGACTTGAATGTTCGTAGAGCGTACGTATATATTTTTTAAAGAAACATTTATAGGCAAATGGTCATTTATATTTATAGAAATGTAAAAATATATATATACATACATACATACATATATATATTTACAGCATTCTCATCTAGCTGTAAAAAGTATGGGAAAAGCCCCCTTTTGTGCTGCTTAGTGCCTCAAGCTGTTATTTACCAACTACCATGTAGAGATTTCTCTGCTTGAAGGGGTCAGTCTAGTTTACAAACACTCCCTGACTCATTATTGAGCCAGCTCATTGCCTCGGTTCTTGGATCAGAAACTTCAAGCTGTTGAATTTTAAATGAAAGAAATGAGGGATGCTCAATTTTGCTGTGCTGTTCATGGGCTTGGTGTAAAAACCCAATAACCTCTGGCAGTGGGGTGAGTTCATCTGTACCTTAGAGCATGTTCTCTGCTGAAACAGATCTTGTATTTCAAGAGGAGTATTTATCTTTTTATCTACTTAGTAATTTTGACTGAACAAGGGATGGTCATCAATGATAGAAGTATCTTGAGTGTTTAGAAAGAATGAAACAGGTGTATTTTGATTTATGGAGATGGTTACTGCAGTAAGACCTTGGCGGGGGGGGGGTTTGTTTGTTTTTGTTGCTTCACTGCCATGTTAGAAACAAGGTTATATTCTTAGGTTGTTAACATGATTATTGGTAGTGTATTGTGACAGCATTTCATCTTTGGTTTTGAATTAATTCTGACTTTAAAAGAAACTTGACTTGTATGACATGAAGGTCAGATCTGTATCCTATACTTGACTTTTAATTCAGTTCTTAATTTTATTTTAGCAAGGAGAAGTAAGACTCAAATGCCTAACTGCTTTGCAAGGGCTTTACTATAATAAGGAGCTTAATTCCAAATTGGAACTCTTCACCAGTCGGTTCAAGGTTAGTGTTACTTCTTACTTTGAGTATGTATGATTTTTTTTAAAGTTGCATTACACTTCTTTCCTCTTCAAAAATATTTTTCTTGTGTTCTTAGGATAGAATTGTGTCTATGACTCTTGACAAAGAATATGATGTTGCAGTCCAAGCAATAAAATTACTCACTCTTGTTTTACAGTAAGTACACGTATATTTCTTTACCTAACATACAAAAAATACCAAAACTTAAGTGTTTCTCATCCTTGTGGGTGAAGCCAGCAGCATGACACTTCAGATAATCTGCAGGCTATAGAAATGTCTATGCATCTTACACCCAAACAAAATGGAATTCCAAAAGTAATATGTCTAGAACAGTGTTACTGCTTATCTCCCACAGTTCAGTAGGGGTAAGGGCTAGGAACTTTGAATTCAGCTTCACAGTTAAAAACTAGCGCATAGAATGTTTGAAATTAAGAACACAGAGTATATTGAACATTACACAGTAGTTCAACTCTTGAGCATAACCTTGTAGCAATACTTCATACTTCATCAGTTTATTTTCTTCAGGAAGACTTTAGAACTAAGAATCTGGAGTTTTAGGATGATAAATTGAAGGAAAAGGTTTAGGTTCTCATTCATTTCCATCTCCCTCATTAGAGTTCATACTTTGTTGACTCAGGCTTTTTGGTTTTTTCTTTCTTTCTTTCTTTATTTCTTTCTTTCCTTCTTCCCATCCCTACCCCTAGGAGTAGTGAAGAAGTTCTGACTGCAGAAGACTGTGAAAATGTCTACCACCTGGTTTATTCAGCTCATCGGCCAGTAGCAGTTGCCGCAGGGGAATTTCTTTATAAAAAGTAAGATGGATAAATTACAGTTAACTTCTTGATCCTGTAGATATTTGTGCATTTGTGGGCATTAATACGATGATTCTTACTAGATGTAATCAGGAAAAGGAAAAGATTAATCAAAGTGATTAAGAAAGTGATTAAGAAAGATTAATCAAAGTGATTAAGAAAGAAGAGACAATGTAACATTTCTGTATTTTCTCAACTGCTCTAGTTTTCTGAATGGGAAACAGAAGTTTGGAAGGCTGCACTCTGAAAGCTTGTAGCTTCGGGGAATATAATAAAAATGTTCCTGTGTCTTCTTTCCCATTCTTCCTGTGAAATGCCTTAAAATGCTTATGTAGTTTGGGGCCTAAAACTTGGGCTTACATCATGAGTGTTTTCCCATTTGTAGTTCCTCCCCTGTGCCCGCCTCCTCCCCATTGTCCCATATGACCATTTCATAAAATATTTTTCATTTAAAAAATCCACTAAAAATCCAGAATGTCAGGTGTGTAGGAGAAGTAAATAAGAGTTTCTAGTTAATACTTTTCAGACCTCCATCCAGTATTTCTCAGCTGCTTTGAAGTGTCCTGTAGGGAGGTTTAGAAAATATCATTCGCTGAGGAGGAGCATAGACCTCAAGCACCTGCAATTATCACTGATGTCTGTAAAGCTTTTTGTTATAATCATACATCCCACTGGAAACAGTCAGTGGCATATCAATTCAGCATATATAAAATGCATATATGAAATTGTTCAAATGATACTTGTCCCAAATTTCTTCCTTTCAAAGTAAAATATGGAGTNGGCAATATTGTGTGAAATTTATAAAGCCACACCTGGGACTGTTTGTACATGGGTTCTTTTAAAACTCATGCTCACTTTTTCTTGTAATAGAATTCTAATGAGCAGCTCTCAGATTTTTAATTCCTTTTCATGGATACATACTTTATTTTTCAACCTGTATTGTTGTTCAGCCTCTTAAAGAAACTGTTCACATTGGCACTGAAACAAATTATTCTTTATTTTTCGCTGTTATTTTACCATTATTTGTAAAGGGCTCCCTTATCAGAAGAGGACTCACATTTGTTATATTTGAGGTGTTGTAGTTGGTAATTTTATGACCTATTACAGTAGGTAATTTTAAGTTTCAGTCTGATATGTTAGCATTTCCTGTAAACTTCCTTACGATCCTGACCTGTTCCTAAACTTGTCACCTCACTGTTCATGTGATGGTTCTAGTGTAACAAAGCAGATTTGCAAGGCAAATAATTTTTTCTTTTTATTTTGTGTCAAACAAGAAAGAGGAGCTAGTAGTTTGAATATTGTTATCGTGTTATAACAAGCCTCAGCTGCAAAGTATATTCATATTTATGGAATAATGTTCTTCTGATGTATCATTTTTAAGGTCTCTGAGACTTTGGTTTTAAAAACATCTTAATCTTTAGTTAATGAAATAACTTTTAAAGTGTTTGAAAGAATTTCCTGTTTTCTTTTCTGTGTTTTAATAGGATAGTGGAGATTATCCACTAACTATGGCTGGCCCCCAATGGAAAAAGTTCAAATCCAGTTTTTGTGAGTTCATTGGAGTACTCGTCCGACAATGTCAATATAGCATCATATATGATGAATATATGATGGATACTGTCATTTCCCTGCTTACGGGGCTGTCAGACTCACAAGTCAGAGCCTTTCGGCACACTAGCACACTGGCAGGTCAGTGAATTTATATTTGTTTGGGTATTGTTTACATTTAATGCTTTGTGTTGTACGGGACGGAATTACTCTGGTTGAATTTCATAATATTCAACATTCAGCTTGTGTTTTATTTTGTGATACAGTTTTCATCTTGTATAGCTTGCTTTGGGACTGCTTTTTACCTTGGAATTTTGTTACTGAAAAACACAGCACCATTTTAAAGCATTCTAGCTCTCTGGTATTTAATTTTTGTTACCTTTAATAGAAGAGTAAATAGAAGGAAACTTTTCAGTAGATTCTGCTAGATTGTCTTTGGTCTTAAATAAATGTGTAGATGTCTTTTAAATGCAGTCGAACCTGTTCATGCTCTGCATTAAGTCAAATAGAAGTTGTAGTTTATGTTGGACGCAATTTTTACTACAGACTTAAATTGTGCTATATTGAGGTCATGGCGCCTATGTAAAGTAGCATTTCTAGTCTTCACATTAGAAATAATTTAAAATAATTTTTTCATCAGTAATACAGTCTCTAAATTTCTTTGTTTTATGTAATTGACCTTTTCACATAATTTTTTTCCCAATATGTTAAATTGTATAGAGATCCTTTATGAGTTAAGTATAAAGTGTTTCAAAGAAGTATGTATTTGTGTGGAAAAAGGATGAGCTTCCTGGGTAAGGGAGTACTAAACTTGCACTGATTACTGAGGAAGGATTGTGAATGGCATCGTGTGGCTGTCAGCTTATGTGAGGTTATGGTAACAATTTTACTTTGCATGAGTAAATTTAGGCTGTGTGTGAAACTGAGGTTTTGCCACACTGGAAGTAATTACTGTTAGCTTCCATTGACCTGGCTGATAGACAGCTGGCTTCAGTCCTGTCATGTCAGTCCTTCTGTATCCTTGATAGCTTCTTGAATTTACATCAGCACGCTGCACATGGGGCTGCTGCTGTGTGACTTCTACCAGCCAGAGCATTTCTTAAGGAGAGAGGAACAAAACTTTTTAGTTAGGAGACTTTACAGATTCTGCTGTGTCATCAGTTCTGACTGTTGTACTATATGACTTAATACAAATTCTAGATCTTAAAAAGCAAGTTATTACCTTTGGATTTTTTTTTTTAATTGGAGTTGTGCCTGAATAAAAGTTGCAGAAATTTCCCTGTTGGATGTTGGTTTCTGTCAAACAAAAAATTTTTTTATAAGCCATGTGTTTTCGTTTGTTCACATCAGCAGCCAATTCTGTTGGTTTTGTGTGTTCCATCTGAGTTTTACTGTTTGTATTGTTAAAGATGGTATTTTATATGGAAAAGAGTGTCAGCAAAATCCTTGTATCCATATTTACTGGTACTTCTGGTAATTTCAGCTTCTGTGATTAACTCGGACTTGCTCTTTGATCTTGGAGATCACAGTGTGAGATGGTATTTCAATATAACTGCATGTCTTTAAGCCTTGCTCATTAGCTTTATGCTGGTGATACATGCACAAGAATATTGTGTCTGTTCTGCCAGTGCAAGACCTTTTATGCCTTGTTTCAGAAGCTCACAAGGCAAGCAAGTACACAATTGATCACCTTCTAATTTTTGAAAAAGTGGTATTTGCACTCTTTTTAGAAGTATTGATCTAAAAATAAAAGGACACAAGAATCGCACATAAATGTGTTTTATCTTTTGGTTTTGTGTTTTCTGTCTTGTAGTTGGCTAATGTGCTTTGTCTGCTTCTGCTGATAAATGAGTCTTTGAAAAACCTGCACCTTTTTAAAATTAAATTGAGGGAAAAAGACTGGTGTGGTATGGTGGTGTTGGTTGTCTTAAGACATTTCCTTTTGAAGAAAGAAACTTCTTGTATATTTAAGACTGATATGAATCTAACTGACTCCGATAGCAGTTCCTCTAGTATTTCTTGGTCTAAGTTTGTTAATCTTACATTCTACCTTCATTTTGGGGAGAAAACAGACCCTATATCTCACTTCAATAATAATAATGTATGTATAATGGAAACAATGCTTATGGCATTAAAGAAGTGACAAAAAAGAACAGAACAGCAATGCTGCATCTATTGTCTTGATAAATAACGATGCAGTGCTTGGTAAAACATTGCAAAAGTTTATGTATGAAAAAATTACAGTAAATGTATTTTCATAGATACAGAAACAGCTGACCAGAGGAGGTGTCAATATTGTTCTTCTGAGTTTTCTTAGATCAAGTAACCTTTTAAATAAACCTTATTCTTTTCACTTATTTTTGTAGCCATGAAACTGATGACTGCTTTAGTGAATGTGGCATTAAATCTAAGTATTAACATGGACAACACACAGCGGCAGTATGAAGCAGAAAGAAATAAAATAATTGGGAAAAGAGCTAATGATAGGCTGGAACTCTTACTACAGAAGAGAAAGGAGGTTAGTGCAACTAAGTATTCATAAATTTAAGTGTTCATAAATGGCCACTAATAATTAATCTTGTTCTGTAATTTGTTTTGCTGGTTACCCATCTCTCTAGCTCTTCAGATTGTTCATGTTTAATGCTTGAAAAAACCTTGCAAGGTGCTTCTTACTGTCTGGTTTTTCTGTAAAAAGAAGTAAATGTAGAGTCTTAAAAATAGTAGTATTGCAATGAAGTTAATGAGACTGCAATCAGTAATAGATACATTTTTGTTGTATTTCTTGATGAGTTTGCTACATTGAGCTCAAAAATGCAAGAAAAATTGCCACACATTGACAGATTTTGGCTTCTAGAGAAGATCTCAATGATCTTGGAGCAAAATACTGCTCTTGTAATGTCAATAATGATCTCAGCAGAAAATGTATTTAAAGGCTTTAGATAAGGCTTTTTTCATGTACAGAAAGCACTATCAAAGTTGAAAATGCAGTTTACTTCTGTTCTCTTTCTTTTGTGTAAAAGAGACTTGCTGATTCATTGCTGACGATGTTGTCTTGTTAAAAACCCAAATTCAATCAGGTTTCAGTTTTTACTGTTGGGGCAATTGGTGGTTTGGTTTTTTGGTCTTTTTTGGGTGGTGGTGTTTGTTTTCTTTTAGGTTTTTGTTTTTTAGACATCAGGAATAACTTCTTCACAATCAAGGGAAACATTTCACCTTTGCTCTTCAGTGTTTGTGCTGTTACCTGTTACATGGTTTTTTCCCCTGACAGTTCAGGCAAACTAAAGTTTGTCTTCTGATCATCTCCAAAAGGTCTTGCAGTTCAAGACTGATCTCTTAACCCGTTCAATGTAGTTTTGTTAGATGTGTGTGCAGGGCCAGTCCTAGTGTGAGTAATACATAGATAGGTAAAAAAGCAATAATGTTACTAGAAAATTAAAACAGGTTTTCTTAAAAATTAATGAAGAAGGACCTTTCAGAAACCCAAGATGCCTTTGTTACACATGAAGAACAGTTTTCCAGTGGTCAGAATTACTAAAATTTGTATGCTGTGGTAGGTACAATTTCTTAAATAATAGAATATTGTACTGTGAAACAGATCTGTGAATATTTCTGAATCTGTGAAAGGATTTAATGGTCACACTTGTAAATGCTAACTTAGTTTGTCTAGCATCAGCACCATCTGATCTGACTGTAAAAGTGCTGCTCACTGTTTTTGTACTCTCTATGTTCTTTCAGCTTCAAGAAAATCAGGATGAAATAGAAAACATGATGAATGCAATATTTAAAGGTGTTTTTGTGCATAGATACCGGTAAGTTTCTCTCAGTAAGAGATGTATAGCATCATTACTTTATTCTGCAAGCTGGGGGCAGGTTATTTATTTCTAATTATTCGTCTGTTTGAACTTGCTGCCCCACTTCCCTCCACAGAGATGCAATTGCTGAAATAAGAGCCATCTGCATTGAGGAGATTGGAATATGGATGAAAATGTACAGTGACGCCTTCCTCAATGACAGCTACTTAAAATATGTGGGGTGGACTATGCATGACAAGGTAAACTGCACTGAGCAAAAGGAGCAGAACCAAGAAGCAGAACTCCTTGGTTTTGATTACTCATCTTTCCAGACTAGGTTTGGATCTCTTAACTGTTTGAATTGGTTACTGCTTTCCTTATCACTCAGACTTGAATGTTCGTAGAGCGTACGTATATATTTTTTAAAGAAACATTTATAGGCAAATGGTCATTTATATTTATAGAAATGTAAAAATATATATATACATACATACATACATATATATATTTACAGCATTCTCATCTAGCTGTAAAAAGTATGGGAAAAGCCCCCTTTTGTGCTGCTTAGTGCCTCAAGCTGTTATTTACCAACTACCATGTAGAGATTTCTCTGCTTGAAGGGGTCAGTCTAGTTTACAAACACTCCCTGACTCATTATTGAGCCAGCTCATTGCCTCGGTTCTTGGATCAGAAACTTCAAGCTGTTGAATTTTAAATGAAAGAAATGAGGGATGCTCAATTTTGCTGTGCTGTTCATGGGCTTGGTGTAAAAACCCAATAACCTCTGGCAGTGGGGTGAGTTCATCTGTACCTTAGAGCATGTTCTCTGCTGAAACAGATCTTGTATTTCAAGAGGAGTATTTATCTTTTTATCTACTTAGTAATTTTGACTGAACAAGGGATGGTCATCAATGATAGAAGTATCTTGAGTGTTTAGAAAGAATGAAACAGGTGTATTTTGATTTATGGAGATGGTTACTGCAGTAAGACCTTGGCGGGGGGGGGGTTTGTTTGTTTTTGTTGCTTCACTGCCATGTTAGAAACAAGGTTATATTCTTAGGTTGTTAACATGATTATTGGTAGTGTATTGTGACAGCATTTCATCTTTGGTTTTGAATTAATTCTGACTTTAAAAGAAACTTGACTTGTATGACATGAAGGTCAGATCTGTATCCTATACTTGACTTTTAATTCAGTTCTTAATTTTATTTTAGCAAGGAGAAGTAAGACTCAAATGCCTAACTGCTTTGCAAGGGCTTTACTATAATAAGGAGCTTAATTCCAAATTGGAACTCTTCACCAGTCGGTTCAAGGTTAGTGTTACTTCTTACTTTGAGTATGTATGATTTTTTTTAAAGTTGCATTACACTTCTTTCCTCTTCAAAAATATTTTTCTTGTGTTCTTAGGATAGAATTGTGTCTATGACTCTTGACAAAGAATATGATGTTGCAGTCCAAGCAATAAAATTACTCACTCTTGTTTTACAGTAAGTACACGTATATTTCTTTACCTAACATACAAAAAATACCAAAACTTAAGTGTTTCTCATCCTTGTGGGTGAAGCCAGCAGCATGACACTTCAGATAATCTGCAGGCTATAGAAATGTCTATGCATCTTACACCCAAACAAAATGGAATTCCAAAAGTAATATGTCTAGAACAGTGTTACTGCTTATCTCCCACAGTTCAGTAGGGGTAAGGGCTAGGAACTTTGAATTCAGCTTCACAGTTAAAAACTAGCGCATAGAATGTTTGAAATTAAGAACACAGAGTATATTGAACATTACACAGTAGTTCAACTCTTGAGCATAACCTTGTAGCAATAGTTCATACTTCATCAGTTTATTTTCTTCAGGAAGACTTTAGAACTAAGAATCCGGAGTTTTAGGATGATAAATTGAAGGAAAAGGTTTAGGTTCTCATTCATTTCCATCTCCCTCATTAGAGTTCATACTTTGTTGACTCAGGCTTTTTGGTTTTTTCTTTCTTTCTTTCTTTATTTCTTTCTTTCCTTCTTCCCATCCCTACCCCTAGGAGTAGTGAAGAAGTTCTGACTGCAGAAGACTGTGAAAATGTCTACCACCTGGTTTATTCAGCTCATCGGCCAGTAGCAGTTGCCGCAGGGGAATTTCTTTATAAAAAGTAAGATGGATAAATTACAGTTAACTTCTTGATCCTGTAGATATTTGTGCATTTGTGGGCATTAATACGATGATTCTTACTAGATGTAATCAGGAAAAGGAAAAGATTAATCAAAGTGATTAAGAAAGTGATTAAGAAAGATTAATCAAAGTGATTAAGAAAGAAGAGACAATGTAACATTTCTGTATTTTCTCAACTGCTCTAGTTTTCTGAATGGGAAACAGAAGTTTGGAAGGCTGCACTCTGAAAGCTTGTAGCTTCGGGGAATATAATAAAAATGTTCCTGTGTCTTCTTTCCCATTCTTCCTGTGAAATGCCTTAAAATGCTTATGTAGTTTGGGGCCTAAAACTTGGGCTTACATCATGAGTGTTTTCCCATTTGTAGTTCCTCCCCTGTGCCCGCCTCCTCCCCATTGTCCCATATGACCATTTCATAAAATATTTTTCATTTAAAAAATCCACTAAAAATCCAGAATGTCAGGTGTGTAGGAGAAGTAAATAAGAGTTTCTAGTTAATACTTTTCAGACCTCCATCCAGTATTTCTCAGCTGCTTTGAAGTGTCCTGTAGGGAGGTTTAGAAAATATCATTCGCTGAGGAGGAGCATAGACCTCAAGCACCTGCAATTATCACTGATGTCTGTAAAGCTTTTTGTTATAATCATACATCCCACTGGAAACAGTCAGTGGCATATCAATTCAGCATATATAAAATGCATATATGAAATTGTTCAAATGATACTTGTCCCAAATTTCTTCCTTTCAAAGTAAAATATGGAGTGAAGCAACAAGGTATTTAGTGTGTAAAAACCCAATATCTTGATGTGAATTGACTGTGGTGAATGTAATGAAGAAGAAACTTGTCAAGAAATAATTTTTCTTTTAGGCTTTTCAGCCGCAGAGATGCTGAAGATGATGGAATACTGAAAAGGAGGGGAAGACAAAGTCCAAATGCTAATCTTGTGAAGACATTAGTGTTTTTCTTCTTGGAAAGTGAAGTAAGTTGGGTTTCAGGGATGTCCTTGTTTTTGTGGTGTGTGCGGTTTTTTGTTGTTGTGGTTCTAATTTTTGTCAGTTATTTTGTTGTTGTTTTTCTTTTCCCCACTGATTGGTTAATAACCATGAATCTGTCCTGGTTTTCTGTTGTTTGAGCAATCTTGGGGTCCAAATACTGTTTTGTATTGTTGTGTAGAGAAATTGTGATTTGATTTAAAAGAGGAGAGAGAAAAAGGCAAAAGAAACCCCACAATCCCTTCCCACCTATCCCCCAAGTTCTGACAGATCTTGTAGCACTACTCCCTGTAGCTGTTGGTCTGGATTAATCTTTTTAAGTTAATTGTGGAAGAAAATCTTCTGTTTAACCAGAGAGCTTGCAAAACTTGCTTTGTATTTTTTCCCTGGGCAGGAGCCAAGTGCAAAAAATATTCTGTATTATAGTTCTTTAATAATCTTCTGATTAGCTACTGATAAAATACTTAATCTGTTCTTATTTTAGTTGCACGAACATGCTGCTTATCTTGTGGACAGCATGTGGGACTGTGCAACAGACCTCTTGAAGGACTGGGAATGTATGAACAGTCTTCTGCTGGAGGAGCCTCTCAATGGAGAAGAACGTAAGATTTTTGTAGATCTTTGTTTATATTGCTGTGCAGTTTTTGTTAGGCTTGAAATAAGGAAAAAATATGTTTACATATATTTTCTGTGTTTCCATGACTATAAGAAGTCACTAATACCATTTATGAAACTTGAGGAAGTGTAGAAAGAGATCACCACCTGGTATGGAAGTGTTACACAAGAGCAATGGTTAGAAGAAAAGAGAAGGAATTAGCCTGCAGTGTTGCTTTGGCGTTCCACAAGTTCAGGTTGCACTTTTGGCATAGAGAAACTAACTTGCTTGTGAAACTGGTTAATTTATTGTTACAACTGCCATATGAAAAAATATCATTATTTCTTTGATGAGAGTAGACCCAAACAAAACCCCTGGTATAGTTCTGTAATTCATAGGTCCTAGTAAATGGACCTCTGAAAAATAGAAAGGAAGTAATATAATTATAAAACTTAGTGTTTGTTTCATCCTGTCCTTTGACCTATCCAGTGCTATTCCCTCAGTTTTTCAGTGTTTTCTGTTTTCATTTTATAAGGTACTTACTTTCTCTATCCCCTCTGTCACCTTCATCTCTGGAAATGAGCTGTTGGTCTACATGTCTGTCTTCTTGCCTTAAACAAAAAAGCAAAAAAACCCAAAACCCAAACAACAACCCCAACATATCTTAATGCTTGTGGAAAATGAAAAGTAAGTTTTGTGTTAACATCTCTTTCTTAAATTTCAGCTTTAACAGACAGACAGGAAAGCGCCCTGATAGAAATCATGCTTTGTACAATTCGGCAGGCGGCTGAATGTCATCCTCCTGTGGGAAGAGGAACTGGGAAAAGGGTAGGAAGCAAAAAACCTACTCATCTAGAGATGTGGGAATGGCTCTGTGGGGCCACTGTGGGAAGAAGGAAGAGACTGTAGGCTGTTGCTGCTGAAGGGACTGAGATGGGAGATTTAGCTTTGGTGTCCACGTCTGACTACCTTGGCTAGTTTGCTTTTTCTGGACTTGGGCACGTGCTTAGTACTGTTCAAACTATTGAATTTGTTTGTACTACTAAAGATAATAAAAATTTATTCTGAAAACAGTATTAGTTTGAAGGGAGGACTAGAATCAATGATTGGGAAAAGCTAAAACTTTTCAGTATGAAAGAGCAAAATGAGGGAAAGGTAAAATACACCACATAGTCTTTTGAAAGAAGGGCAATCCACCAGTTGGCTCTTCTGTGATTGTATGGAGTTTAGGCAGCCTCTTTTGTGGAGACATTAAGAAATCTTCTCTCAAGACTGGTGCATATTTTGGTAAGAAACCCAGTTAAGAACTGGTTGAAAGCTTGTATGAACATAGGATTGACAAATCAATTGAGTAAATATTGTTAAAAATTCTAAGCCGAAGGGATTCCCATTCTTACGTTGTCATTCCAGTAATGATATTTTGTATTTTGTTGTAGGAAAGGTTATCACTTCTGTTTCCAAGATAATCTTAATAGTGTTAGGACTGACTTTGAATTGCATTTTTTGAATGCCAAATGTTGGTTTTTTCCCCCTTTTTTTTAATTACACACTTTCTTCCTGCTTTACATTGATACGTTACAGTGATTTTAGAGCTCCATGTATCTAATCATATTTTCATTAATTATAATAAAACTTTGCACCAGAACTTTTAGCTATAAAATTCTCACAATACCAATATTTTAGGTGCTGACAGCAAAGGAAAAGAAGACCCAATTGGATGACAGGACAAAAATCACTGAGCTTTTTGCGGTGGCACTTCCTCAGTTGCTAGCAAAGGTAGGTTTAATTCCATTTCTCACTGATGGAAGCTTGTTGAAATGTTTACAAGTATATTTCTGTAATTAATGATGCAGCTTGCCACAAGTTTTAATTTTTTCTTACTAATCTTTATTTATATTTACTTGTTCTAAAATGAATTATGTTATGTTGTCCAGGATTTCTTCTAACTAAACTTTTTTCCTTGCCAATTTTACAGTATTCTGTAGATGCAGAAAAAGTCACCAACTTACTGCAGTTGCCACAGTACTTTGATTTGGAAATTTATACAACAGGGCGATTAGAAAAGGTATGGTAACATCCACACATTAAGATAAAAGGAAAAGCCTCAGAATTTAGACTTCATCATTGGAATTTTCATTACCATTTTAGGAGTGTTTTTTTGTGTAAATGAGATTTTATTTATTGTAACCCTTACTAATGGTGCAGCTTTGATTTCAGAGTTGTGGCTGGGTCCTCTTCTTAGAGATACTGAAAACACGAGTTTTCTAAGGCCTGTCTGGCCAGTTTTAACAGAACATTTTCCAGTTAAATGAACTGAAATTGAGAACCTTTATTGCTGGGTTATGGTCATGTTTGTGATAGTTGTCTGACAGATAAAGCTTGTAGAAGCAGCTCAATAAGTTCTCTTTTTCTGTCACTGAAACTAGAAAACCTCCATCATTACTGAATGAAAAAGAGGCAGGATAGCAGATCACAAATGATGTAGTTACTGCTCTCATTTTATCTGCTATGATGATGCAGTTGAAGCTGTTCTCATCTCTATTGTCTCCTTCTCAGATGTCCTATTGCATTGTGAAAGGAGGTAGCTGGAAATCATTAGAGCCAAAAAGTGATGAAATGTGTAGTTGGCGGCACAGCCAGCAGTGATTGAGCAGCAGTGAGCATCTCAGGTTGAGGGGGAGGAGTATAAGAAGAGCTGAAGGTGGCTTTAGTTGGTGGACAATAGAGTGTTATGAAACTAAAACTTCAGTTATACAGCTTTTAAGGCACACATAAACATGCATAAAGGTTTGTGAGTGGGAGGTAAATACTTCTATGTTGTTCAGTTGTCATTGCAAATTCAAGTGTTAGATAAGACCATACCAACAATAGCAAATCACTTTTTTAATCACTTCTGTGATTTGGTCTTTGACAAGCTCCAACTTAATTTTTGATAAATAGACTTTATTTCTCAGAAGCTTCGCTGATTTTCTAGAAGGTGTTTGTGTTCTGTATCATAGTTACAAAAGTAATAAACAGAATTTATCTTTTAAAAATCTTAAAGATTTATAAAAAATATATGTGTATATTTGCATGTGTGTATATATATATATATATATATATATATATGTATATATATGAAAATAAAAATGCATATTTTCTTCTTTGACTCTTCTTCCTTGTAGCATTTGGATGCCTTACTGCGACAAATTCGGGATATTGTGGAGAAGCACACAGATATAGATGTTTTGGAAGCCTGTTCAAAAACCTACCATGCTCTCTGTAATGAAGAATTCACAATCTTTAACAGGGTTGACATTGCAAGAAGTCAGTTAATAGATGAATTGGCAGACAAGTTTAATCGACTTCTTGAGGACTTCCTGCAAGAGGTATTTTAATGTGCAAGATCACCTTTTCCTGCCCTTGTAAATATTTTCAGTATTTTTTCTGTCTTTCTCTGCAAGTCAGAGCTAGGGATGGGAGCTTCCCTCTGGTTTTCAAAACTCTTAAGTCAAGTGCAATAATACAACAGTATCGCTGCTGTGATAGTGTGAACAGACTGTTTTTTTAGTGAGTCTTTAATTTTGGTCTCCTTTTGACAAGAGTCCTATGGGAATTTGAGATAAGTTTCAGAGAAACAATTAAATACATAAACTTTTTACTCTTAGCTTTTGAGGCTTTCATTTTTGAGAGTTGTAATATTGTAATTCCCCAAGGATTCTCCTCAGATGTACTACTATAGCTAGTCTTGCCTGTGGTTGCACGTTGCTGTTGTTAAATATCAAAATCTGTAGAAAACACTCCCCCTCCCTTCCTGAATGCAAGCAGATGCAGTTAGTAGATCAAAAATAACTTTGTTCCCACACTGTGTTGATCTGAGAAGTGAGAATCTTCTGATATTTAACTTCACTATGTGGGATCTCTGACATTCAGACAAAATTTGTTTCTCCTTTTCATCTGTGTGAGGAGCATGGGAAGTGTCTTTTTGACAGCTTCATTCTTAACATTTCTTAGATGCATGTAGTTTATCAAACTCTCCTTTTTTTTTTTGTTTTTTTTTTTGACTTGGACTTCCTTTTTGGAATTCTTAACCAGGAATTTTGCCCTTTTTTTTCCTTTTTTGTTGAAAGGAAGGATTGGGGGTTAAGGCAGGGAATTGGGTTTTCGGAGTTTGGTTTGAAGGAAATTGGCAATTCTTTTGTTGGAGTTTTTGAATTCTTTGTTTTTTTGTTGGTTTTTGCACTTCCGGATTGTTAAACTTTTTTTTTTTTTTGTTGGCTTAGGGGGGGTTTCTTGACCTCAGATAGTTTATCTTATGTGCAAAGAGATACTTTTTTGACCCTTCCATTTTTACTCTTTTTTTTCACTAAATGCGAGTTTGTCAGAATTTATGGGAAGATTAGAACAAACCAGTTCCCTTACCTCAGTCAAAGACTTTTCTGTGATTAAAGTGGGACTGAAGTACCTGTGGCCCATCTAGTCCAGTGTCTTTTGTCTGACAGTGGCCTCTGCTGGATTCTTCAGAGAAAATAGGAGCACCTACATTATACATTGTATTTTGCTAGCCTAGACTTTTTCTCCTTTCTCCTTCCTCCCCACCCCCTCCCCCTCTCTCTTCTTCAGCTGCTATTTTATAGAATCCTAGAATTGCCTAGGTTGGAAAAGACATTTAACATCATTGACTCCATCTCTAGATATGAGCTGCTGGCTGCCCTATCTCTCTAACTCTTCTGAGAGCATGTGTGACATGATAAATCACTTAGCATCAGGTCCATACCTCTCCTGCCCCCCAGTTTGGGGGTGTGTGTATTTGGTTTTACAAAGTTCCTCAGTTCACTTAGACTGCACTGCTTGAGATATCTCACTGTATGATTATTAAATAGGGGGAGGAGCCTGATGAAGATGATGCATATCAAGTCTTGTCAACACTGAAGAGAATCACTGCTTTTCACAAGTAAGTTGGCTTTTGCATGCATCTGTCAGGGTTTGTGGTGAGGGGAGTTGTTTTTAATTCAGTATTGGGGTTTGTGGTGAGCGGGTTGTTTGTTTTTAATATGATGCATCTTACTTTTTAATGCCACTTCATGGGATTGTTTTGGGTTTTTTAAATTACTTTTTGTGTGTGTGTTGGTTTGGGTGGGGAGGTTTACAGTGGCTGGGTTTTTTCCACACTATTTTAAAAAATCTAATTAATTAATTACTCGGTTAATTATTTTTGACCAGTTAAGCTTTTAGTACTTGTTAACCTCAAACTGCAGAAAAAGTATTAGTTAAATAATACTTTGTGCTTCATTTCTAATGCTTCCAGTGCTCATGACCTATCAAGATGGGACTTGTTTGGCTGCAACTACAAGCTATTGAAAACTGGCATTGAAAATGGAGACATGCCAGAACAGGTCTGTAGTTAAAGTGTGTTCTTTAGGCACAACAACAAATAGCTTTTGTTGCTGTCTTTTATTGGTCTTTGTCATCTAATGCTTTTTTTCCTTTTGATTTCAGATTGTTATTCATGCACTGCAGTGTACTCATTATGTAATCCTTTGGCAGCTAGCGAAAGTTACTGAAAGCAGTTCCACAAAGGTATGCCCTGGTCCACCTGTATTAGTAAATAAACATTTGTACATAGCTGCAGTGTCATCAAGTGGGAATTGTGATGCAATTATTAAAACTAGGAATTTTCTTTATATTGATACCTACCTAATCCTGCTTTTTTAATAAGTTCTTCTGAATTAATAGTTTTAGTAGTCACATTCTTTACTTTTACAAACCTAGTCCTTTCTTCAATTGTTTTTATTATTTGAATGTCAGTATTATGTTTAATTTGACTGAATTTTAAAGTAATAGTAAATAAACATGATACCTATCAGCCACAGTAATAATGCCACAAAGGGGTAGAATGGAACTTACCAAACACAGAATAGTCAGTCTTACTCCTCTCAGGTAGTGGGTTTGGATTTGTTTGGAAAGCTTGAAGTATCAGTGACAAGTTGGTGAGATCTAAGAATTTGTACTATCATATTATTCTTATTGCTCAGTATGTCACCATCCTACTTTACCCTTCCTCGGTCTTTTAAATCTATTGTTAAATAAAGATGTGAAAGGATTAAGTTAAATTTCCTATCTTTTCAGGGAATGATGAGAGGCCTAGTTCTGGTTCTGTGTATAGTAATCTTGAAGGGCAAAGCTCTGGCAAATGTCATTTTTCCAATTTTACTTCTTGAAAAATCTTAGAGAAAGGATTAAGGTTTCCTGTATCCAGCATTGCTTGAAGATGTTGATTAGGTGGTTCACTGTGTGAACTGCCAAATATAAAAAGGCTTTTTTCAAAGTCCTAACTAGTTTAGAATGGAGTTTGTAAGTGCTGAAATATTTTAATGATTTCTCTAGCTAAAATTAAAAAAATGTAATCCCTGTAATCAAACATACTTTTTCTGCAGTTCCTGTAATTAGAGTGCTTTTTTACTGGCATTCTGTGCTGGAGTTGCACTTCATTATTGGAGTTTCTGTTAACACACCTTTCTTTATATCAGAGTGGAGACAATTAAATTCTTCAGGTTTTTTAAACACTTTGATTGTCATGGCTGTAGTTAATACAAAAAAAAAAAAGTTGTATATGACTGTCACAATTTACTAGGGAGAAAACAGTGGGAACTCATCACATTAATAGTGTATGAGTAATTAATAATCCATTTTTACAATACTCTCATTTTAATGTGAGGATACACACATTTTTCCTTTAATTTTTTTTTTTTTTTAATTTTAGAATGTGGTAGTTTGGGCTTCCGGTAGATGCAGGATGGAAAATCATGCTGTATAATTTGTACTAATGATCTTATAACAGAGAACACCTGTGTCAGATAATAATAATTTTCCCCTATCTATTGAGACTTCTTTAGTCCAGTGAGTAATTATAGTCTGAAGTTGTTATAGAGGAATATGAGCTTGACCACTGGCTGGTTAGTTTACCCATTTGTATTTTAATGGCTTTTAACATTTCCACCCCTAAATACCTGATAAGAAGTGGCTGCACAGATTGTTCAGAGGTGTTTAGGTGTGTGAAGGATTTGAACGTTTTCTTACCTTATTCCTTAAAGGCTAAACAGTAGTCTTGAGGTTTTTGTAATTGTGATTAAAGCTTTATCTCAAGCCTGATGGCAGAAGATGAGCTAAATACTGACAAGATAGTTTAGAAATTAAGATTAACCTAGCTGTTTTGCAGCAAAATGTAATTTGTAATACTTTCAGCAGGAATGAAAAGAACCTAATGGAAAAGTGGTCCCTTATTGAGACTATTTTCTGATTCTTTGTAACAGTTTTTTTAGTTACCACTTTTTAAAAAAAAACCATTATTTTCATCCTAACTGTCATCTCTTCTGTGCTACACAGAATGGCAAAATTAAGGAAATTGCTACTTGCTAATTTTATTTGTAACAGTGAGTTCTTAATGTAGTGGACTTGAATATTACCACTAAGGTCTGTGGTGGAATGTTCTGTGAAAGTGAATGCAATGTATGGGACTGTAGAATTGATAAAGCAAAACTGTTACATTAAATCATTCTCTTTAAAGGAGGATCTTCTACGTCTGAAGAAGCAGATGAGAGTGTTCTGTCAAATCTGTCAACACTACCTGACCAATGTAAATACTGCTGTTAAGGAACAGGTTAGTGGCTGTTGTTGCTTGGAATCTTCTAATACTGTACTTTTAATGCAGCTGGAAAGTTCTTACTAATATTTTTGTCACTTCTGTGGGAACATGATGTCCTGAATGTTCAGGCTGAGTGCCCTTTGAGTGTCAGTGCATATGGTACTTGTATGCTTGTCCTCCTTGTGTACATATGACTTCAGAATCAATTTTAACTTGAATCTTTTGAGTAATTTTAGGCAGCATAACGTTTTATGCAAAGGAGCTTTTTTTTTTGTTACTTTAAGTAATGACTCTGCAGGTGCACTGTAGAAGCCTCTGGGTTTAAGCTGAGTGAGAGTTCCATTTCAAACCTTTTGCTTACCATGTGCTAATGACCCATATCTCTTGTGGAGCTGTGGATTCATAGTCTCAAACTGGCTAAGGATGGCAATTTAAAAGGGTTTTGTTTGGTTTTATCTTTGAATGGATGCAGGTGCAGCTTCCTTTCTCTTCCTTCTCTGTGTTGCTTTATAACACAATGTATTCCTCAGTTTTTCAGAGTCCCAAGAATTTGGGGATCTCAAAATCAGGAGGCAAAAAAAGACTACTAAAGATGAGTTTGTATATGTTTATACATGTACAAAATACTCACTGTAACCTAGGAGAGTTTATTGTTGGGAAATGGGAATTTTTGGGAGT